TACAGTCCGGACAAAAATAGGTGTTTCCAGTAGCTTTAGTCTGCCAGGACGATAAACTGGTATACTCGACCTTTCCAGGTTCCCTTCAGGGTGTACGTGGTTGAAACTCAATATCGCGGAAGGGCAAATATTGCTTAAAATACTGATACAAGGTGAAATTTTTATTTCGGCATAAATTCGGTGGTGTTGCCGAAAAGAAAATAAATACATATCAGAGAACTGACTGTGAAGCTAAGCGTGGGGAATAAGTAAGTGTAAAAAGAATAAGATAAGGAACGAATGAATGGGTATACGGGCCTCGTCCACCCGTATAACTAGCATGAATGTGTCGGATGAATGACAAGTGTTCTGGGCTGATTGGCCATGGCGATATACAGTGTACACACTGTGAGCAAGAACTTGCCTTTGGTTTATTTAATGAATTAATATTTTGGTCTATCGATTACTACTCTGCGTGCTGCTGCCAGATCAACAGAGACTATTACATATGCGCGGATGTAAACGGAAGTGATGTTACGCAACAATGATCACAGATTAGAAAGCTCAAGTACTCGAGTGTTTCAACATGAACTAGGCATGGAAAATTTAGTACTTTTTTCAGTACCCCACGAAATTTTCGGTACGTTTTGTAAGTTATAAACTCTTGATAAAATGTCCATATAGTAGTCAATAGACTAATCTATAGAGTAATCCATAGTCTAATCAATAGTCTAGTCCATAGTCTAATCAATATACTAGTTTAAAGTTTAGTCTATAGTCTAGTCTATAGTCTAGTCTAGTCTAGTCTAGTATATTATTTAGTCTATAATCTAGCCTAGTATATAATCTCGTCTAAGGTCTAGTCTACAGTCAAGTTTATAGTCTAGTCTATGGTCTAGTCTATAGTCTAGTCTATAGTCTAGTCTATAGTCTAGTCTATGGTCTAGTCTATGTTCTAGTCTATAGTCTAGTCTATAGTCTAGTCTATAGTCTAGTCTATAGTCTAGTCTATAGTCTAGTCTATAGTCTAGTCTATAGTCTAGTCTATAGTCTAGTCTATAGTCTAGTCTATAGTCTAGTCTATAGTCTAGTCTATAGTCTAGTCTATAGTCTAGTCTATAGTCTAGTCTATAGTCTAGTCTATAGTCTAGTCTATAGTCTAGTCTATAGTCTAGTCTATAGTCTAGTCTATAGTCTAGTCTATAGTCTAGTCTATAGTCTAGTCTATAGTCTAGTTTATAGTCTAGTCTATAGTCTAGTCTATAGTCTAGTCTATAGTCTAGTCTATAGTCTAGTCTATAGTCTAGTCTATAGTCTAGTCTATAGTCTAGTCTATAGTCTAGTCTATAGTCTAGTCTATAGTCTAGTCTATAGTCTAGTCTATAGTCTAGTCTATAGTCTAGTCTATAGTCTAGTCTATAGTCTAGTCTATAGTCTAGTCTATAGTCTAGTCTATAGTCTAGTCTATAGTCTAGTCTATAGTCTAGTCTATAGTCTAGTCTATAGTCTAGTCTATAGTCTAGTCTATAGTCTAGTCTATAGTCTAGTCTATAGTCTAGTCTATAGTCTAGTCTATAGTCTAGTCTATAGTCTAGTCTATAGTCTAGTCTATAGTCTAGTCTATAGTCTAGTCTATAGTCTAGTCTATAGTCTAGTCTATAGTCTAGTCTATAGTCTAGTCTATAGTCTAGTCTATAGTCTAGTCTATAGTCTAGTCTATAGTCTAGTCTATAGTCTAGTCTATAGTCTAGTCTATAGTCTAGTCTATAGTCTAGTCTATAGTCTAGTCTATAGTCTAGTCTATAGTCTAGTCTATAGTCTAGTCTATAGTCTAGTCTATAGTCTAGTCTATAGTCTAGTCTATAGTCTAGTCTATAGTCCAGTCTATAGTCTAGTCGATAGTCTATAGTCTAGTCGATAGTCTATAGTCTAGTCGATAGTCTATAGTCTAGTCGATAGTCTATAGTCTATAGTCTAGTCTATAGTCTAGTCTATAGTCTAGTCTATAGTCTATTCTATAGTCTAGTCTTTAGTCTAGTCTATAGTCTAGTCTATAGTCTAGTCTATAGTCTAGTCTATAGTCTAGTCTATAGTCTAGTCTATAGTCTAGTCTATAGTCTAGTCTATAGTCTAGTCTATAGTCTAGTCTATAGTCTAGTCTATAGTCTAGTCTATAGTCTAGTCTATAGTCTAGTCTATAGTCTAGTCTATAGTCTAGTCTATAGTCTAGTCTATAGTCTAGTCTATAGTCTAGTCTATAGTCTAGTCTATAGTCTAGTCTATAGTCTAGTCTATAGTCTAGTCTATAGTCTAGTCTATAGTCTAGTCTATAGTCTAGTCTATAGTCTAGTCTATCTAGTCTATAGTCTAGTCTATAGTCTAGTCTATAGTCTAGTCTATAGTCTAGTCTATAGTCTAGTCTATAGTCTAGTCTATAGTCTAGTCTATAGTCTAGTCTATAGTCTAGTCTATAGTCTAGTCTATAGTCTAGTCTATAGTCTAGTCTATAGTCTAGTCTATAGTCTAGTCTATAGTCTAGTCTATAGTCTAGTCTATAGTCTAGTCTATAGTCTAGTCTATAGTCTAGTCTATAGTCTAGTCTATAGTCTAGTCTATAGTCTAGTCTATAGTCTAGTCTATAGTCTAGTCTATAGTCTAGTCTATAGTCTAGTCTATAGTCTAGTCTATAGTCTAGTCTATAGTCTAGTCTATAGTCTAGTCTATAGTCTAGTCTATAGTCTAGTCTATAGTCTAGTCTATAGTCTAGTCTATAGTCTAGTCTATAGTCCAGTCTATAGTCTAGTCGATAGTCTATAGTCTAGTCGATAGTCTATAGTCTAGTCGATAGTCTATAGTCTATAGTCTAGTCGATAGTCTATAGTCTATAGTCTAGTCTATAGTCTAGTCTATAGTCTAGTCTATAGTCTAGTCGATAGTCTATAGTCTAGTCTATAGTCTAGTCTATAGTCTAGTCTATAGTCTAGTCTATAGTCTAGTCTATAGTCTAGTCTATAGTCTAGTCTATAGTCTAGTCTATAGTCTAGTCTATAGTCTAGTCTATAGTCTAGTCTATAGTCTAGTCTATAGTCTAGTCTATAGTCTAGTCTATAGTCTAGTCTATAGTCTAGTCTATAGTCTAGTCTATAGTCTAGTCTATAGTCTAGTCTATAGTCTAGTCTATAGTCTAGTCTATAGTCTAGTCTATAGTCTAGTCTATAGTCTAGTCTATAGTCTAGTCTATAGTCTAGTCTATAGTCTAGTCTATAGTCTAGTCTATAGTCTAGTCTATAGTCTAGTCTATAGTCTAGTCTATAGTCTAGTCTATAGTCTAGTCTATAGTCTAGTCTATAGTCTAGTCTATAGTCTAGTCTATAGTCTAGTCTATAGTCTAGTCTATAGTCTAGTCTATAGTCTAGTCTATAGTCTAGTCTATAGTCTAGTCTATAGTCTAGTCTAGTCTATAGTCTAGTCTATAGTCTAGTATATAGTCTAGTCTTTAGTCTAGTCTATAGGCTAGTCTATAGCTTGTCTATAGTCTAGTCTATAGGCTAGTCTGTAGCTAGTCCATAGGCTAGTCTATAGGCTAGTCTATAGTCTAGTCTATAGGCTAGTCTATGGTCTAGTCTATAGGCTAGTCTATGGTCTAGTCTATAGTCTATGTTTTAATGTAAAGCACTGTATTTCTTTTGCTACCCGACTTGTCATAGAGTATTCCCTGTGAGTAAAAATGAAGTTTTGTCTTCTTAATGGGCATCGTGCTTCAACATAACTAATCCCATAGTGTGGTGGTGGATTATTATCGATGAATGCAAGGTTAAAGTTTAGATAGCTTAAGTACAAATATTGCTCTCCTAATGGGAGATGGCTAAACTCACGCTCACGTAAAGCACTCGGACTTCTTTAGAAATGTTTAAAATTATTCCGCATTTTAAATATGTAAATTTTGAAGATGTAGTTCGAAGAATTTTATGAATCTTTGGTCACCGTCTGTGTTCTTTAGAGTTTTCAGATAGTGTCTAAGGAAGGGTCCCTGGTGGCTTTTAGTACCGATCACTGGTTTAGGTGATTCAGAATCAAAAATTCACTATATTCTTTCATTCCAATATTTGTTTTATATTACATACATATATAAATTTTGTTCTTTATCTTATAATTTTAAGTGTTTTATTAATTATTTAGTATAAATATATAAACTTAGTTTTATATAGAAATTTTAGTTAATTGTTATCCTAGCTTAAGTTAAGTATATAAAATAAATAAATATAAAAACGATAAAAATTAAAAAACTATTAAACAAATACAACTTATTAACGTGTAATTAATGAGTAATATCTGTAAAACTAAATATGGTCATAAGAATTAATATCTAATATTTAAAAAAATTTTTACAAATATTTATTTTTTTAATAAAAAGTAATAAAAATATATAACAAATTAATGTGTACAATTTTCAATTGAAACACAGAGTGGGAGAGAGAGAGGGAGATTTAAAATTAAAATAAAATATTTAAAAAAAATATTACAAAATCATTTAAACGATATGATTTTATTCCAATTTATTTCAGTTTTTTATAAAGGGCTAATGGAGATTACGTTTTAGTTAACAATATTTCTTTGGGTGTATTGCAGACTTATTTTGATATAAAATGAATTTGTTTTAAATCAATTAATTTGTGTTGTTTATTTTTGTTTTGAGGTAGTGATTATTTAAAATAATAAAACTGAAAATTAATATTTTTTTTGGAATTTTTTTTTTTTAAATAAACTAGAAAAAAGACTTTGGTATTTTTTGATATTTTTTTAAATGTTAATTTTGCAGTGCATGTGACTAGTATTATTGTAGTATTATTGTAGTATTTTGAATTATTTTTTTGATTTTTATAATTAGCTGAGTTTTTCTGGCTCAAGCACTCCTTTTACATAAACCCCTCTTTACCTATAAAATTGGGCTCATATGATAGTTAAACGTTGCTTTAGGTAATCATTATCAAGACATTGTTATAAATCTTATTTTAAATTAG